TTCTGCTGGAGTGGAGTATCGACAGTTGCATTATCAGTTAGCTCAGCTTGATTTAGAATATCTGAGAGATACTTCTGTTGAGATAGTAATACACCCCGCGGGCCTTGAAAAATTTCTAGACCAAGAAAATACCGAAGAGATCCAAGATCCTTCATGTTGGACTGTTGTTGCAACTGAGATTTTACGTATTGTATACCTGCCATATCATCACCTGTAATGATCATATCATCTACATAGATGAGTAATAAAACTCTGCCACGCGATATAGTGCGAACAAACAGAGAAGCATCTTGATGACTTTCTATAAAGCCCGCTTTGAGCACGACATCGCGAAAACACTCAAACCAAGCGCGGGGTGCCTGCTTGAGACCATAAACAGCACGACGAAGGAGACATACATGTCCCGGAGGAATATTTTACCCTGGAGGCAGTTGCATATATACGGTCTCTGATAAAGAGCCATGAAGAAAAGCATTTTTAACATCCATCTGGTATAAGGGCCAACGATGAGCAGCAGCGACTGCAAGGAGAGTACGAACAGTGGGCATCTGAGCAACAGGAGCAAATGTCTGCTGAGTAAAACCTCTAGCCACTAAACGAGCTTTTTGACGTTCAATGGTGCCATCAGGACGAAACTTGACCTTATAAACCCATTTACTGCCAACAAGAGAGATCCCAGGAGGACAGGGAACAACATCCCAGGTATGAGTTTGCTGAAAGGCTTGAAATTCCTCAGCCATAGCCTGTCGCCGCTCTGGAATTTGAACTGCCTCTTGAAAGGACTTTGTCTCAACAATAGTATGAATGACAGCAAGAAAGTTATGAAAGATAGGTGAATAAGAAGTAACAGAAGCATACCGGGCATGCATGACATGTGGGCGTTTGCCTCGACGAAGAGCAAGAGGAACCTCAGGCGGGGGCGATGCTGGCGCAGGTGCGTGGAGATCAACAATATTTTCTGGAGTGAGAGTTGTGTCCACGGGATATGGATTAGATGGTGTAAGAGAAGACTCAGGTGAGGAAGAGTCAACAGAAGGAGAGGGAGAGATGTCAGGGAGATCTCGAAAGGAAAATTGAGGTGAAGAAGTGGGTGATGCAGTTGACGGGGAAGCATGATCAGTAGAGTGGAGGAAATTAAAGTCATCGGAAGCAGAATAATATGGAGAATCCTCTTCGAACTGAACATGACGAGATATATGAACTTGACGAGTTGCTGGATCATAACAACGATAACCTCGATGTTTTGAACTAATTCCTAAATAAACACAAGAAACAGCTCTGAGAGATAATTTATCACGTTCGTGAGATGGCAGAAGAACAAAACATCGACAACAAAAAACACGAACTAGATCATAACGGGGAGGATGAGTATAAACACGACTATAAGGAGTAGCACCGGAAAGAGAGCTAGATGGAGTGATATTAATGGCATGAGTCGCGGTGAGAATAGCCTCAGCCCAAAAACGACGAGGAACAGAGTAAGAAATGAGCATTGATCGAGCAGTATCGAGGATATGACGATGTTTGCGTTCAGCAACACCATTTTGCTCATGAGTGTAGGGACATGACTGTTGAAAGATAGTCCCATTCGAGGACATGATAGAGCGCATAGTAGAGGATAGGTACTCTTTGGTACAATCAGAACGAAAAACTTTAATACGAGATTGCCATTGAGTGAAAATCATAGCAGTGAAGGCTTGATAAGCAGTAAGTATGTCAGAGCGATTCTTAAGTAGGTAAACCCATGTAAAACAAGAGAAATCGTCGATAAAGCTAACATAATATAAGTAGCCAGATGAAGAAGGCAAAGGAGCTGGCCCCCAAATATCAGAATGTACTAAATCAAATAAGGAAGTGGATACAGATGTACTCATTTTAAATGGTAAAGCAGTGAATTTTGCCAATTTGCAACCAGTACATGACTCAATACTAGAACTAGATGATACAGGACCAAGTACTCCAGACTGAATAAGACTCTCCAGCCTTTTATTAGACACATGACCAAGTCGTCTATGCCATAAATTGGCAGGAAGCGAGGTAGAGGGTTTTGACGAACGAAGAGAAGCAACAAGAGAACGTGGACGTATAGACTCTGGAAGGTGAAGATATTCTAGAAAATACAGTTTGTGCCTCCTACGACCCACCCTAACCGTCTTGCCCGTCTGTGGATCCTACACAATACAAGTATCAGAAGAAAATGAGACAAACAAGCCCGCCATGCATAAAGAGCTAATAGAAATTAAATTCAAGCACAACTGAGGAGCCACATAGACGGGACCAAGTGTTAGACGACCAGATGGATCATTTTGTGGGGTAATAGAGCCATACTGAGTAATGGACAATGGTTGTCCAGCAGCTGTGTAGATAGGAGGAAGAGAGGATGAAGTAAAGACAGAGGATAAAAGTGAGGCATTACAAGTCATATGAAAGGAACAACCAGAGTCAAAAATCCAGAGATCATTCATACCAGAGACCGAAGGATTAGCAGAAGAACCAGCAAAATGCATACCAGAGAGTTGTGCGGCGGATGTAGAGGTGATATGTTGGAAAGCATCAAGTTGACGACGAAGACTTTTAATAGCTTGAATAGTAGAGTCTGAAGTAGTAGAAGGTATAACATTGGCCAACAATCCTAGTGTACGAGAGGGTTGAGACTGAGGGGTTCGCCGACCACGACCAGTACCTGAGGAACGTAACTCAGGATGAAGCTTGAAGCATGTCTCAATGCGGTGTCCTTCCTTCTTACAATATTTGCAAGAGAGCTTAGATCGAGCCTGTGGAGAGGGAGCCTGTGGAGAAGTATAATTCATAACAGGAGCAGTGACAGGTACAGACAAAACAGTCTCGAGTGAAGAGGTAGGAGTGTCTGTTGACAAATTGAGTCGTGCTGTCTGCTGCGGGGTCTCATAAGCAGTGAGAGCTCCCATAACTGAGGCCAAAGTCGAAAATTGAGGCTGATGAAGTAGTTGATCAGCCATAGTTGAATATTCAGGAAGGGACTGAAACATTGATGCACCTCATGCCGTTCGTACCAGGCTAGCCAGTCTTCATATGTGGAATTACGTCCAAGAAGCATGGAGCATAACTCTGTCCAAAAAGCTTGCATTTGTCCAAAATAGGACTGCAGAGATGAACTACCTTTGCGTTGTAGAGCAATGAGTTGCAGAAGATATGCCTCCCGTGCACCCGAGCACTCAGTGAAACGCTCAGTGAGACGAGTCCACATGGCCCGAGCAGAGGGAAGCGAGCCAATCTCGACAGTGAGACCAGAGCCAACACAGCGAGTGAGATAATCCATGACACGAAATTTCTGCATTTGCCACTCTGAACTCTCCTTGACATAGAGAGCACGAGCAGACTGAAGATCGACATTACCACTGTCAGAGGCAATATTACTGGATGAAGCAACAGTGCTGATGGACGGTGGAACTGGTCCCGTACTGGTGAGATGATCAAGCAAACCAGCGCCACGCAAGGCATTGGTGACAATGGTGGACCACCCTGCCCAGTCACTTTGATCATTGAGGGGCAAAGGTGGTTTGGGAATCTTCTCTGAAGGAGCCATAACAGCAATGTTGAGACGTTAAGATGTCGAGATGTCGTTACTGACTGCGAAACGACAATGCTGTTCGTTTGAGGCCGAGAGACGGCTTGAAACGATGATGCCGTTAATTTGAGACTGAGAGACGGTCTTGAAACGGTAATGCCGTTAAAATAGAACCCGAAGGTTAGAATAAAACCCGAAGATTTAAAATAGAACCTGAATGTTAGAATGAAACCCGAAGGTTAAACGAGAACGCGAAACGCGTTAAGATGCCGCAAAGCGACAAGGCCAAAATATCTGGCAGATTAAAAAAAAACATTAAACAGCTGCAAAGCAACAATGCCAAGATTTGGCAAAAGAACGCAGAAGCGTTAAAAAATTTTTATTGGAAGAGAAATAGCCCTAGCTCTGATACTATGTTAAAGTAAGAGAGAGAGAATCTTGGGTAAATTTCCCTTGAATTGAATATTGAGTATGCACCTATATTTATATAAGTAGAGGAGTGTGAGGTTTGTTCTCCCAAGCAATGTGAGACTAAAACCCACTACAATACACTATTATCAACACGTGCAAAGCACGATTTTTAAATTATATTCTGCAAATATTGATTATGTTAACAAAATTAAGTATTATACTATAAATAATTGTAATATTCTGCTATAAATTTAGTTTAGTGTAAAAGTGAATTAAAAAATTAATTAATATTTGGTTATTATTCGTTTATTAATGATCAAGTTCGAAGCGATACTTCATTTAATACTAAAATATATTTTTTAGTATTTGATTTATAAATAAATAAAATTTAACTAAATATATGTTTGATTAATTTGTTGTTGTTTATTAATTTGATAAATTTTCCATAGAAATTTAACCAAATATATGTTTGATAGTTCATTAACTGTTTTATTAAGTAGTCCAAGAGAGAGAGAGGAAAAAAAAGCACTAAAACCTTTTCATTTTCACATTAGTAGTTAAAAATAACAACAAACGCTTTCACCTAATTCCATCCCTCCGCATTCTTAAGTTTTGATGCGATTGGAAAAAAAAACAAAAGATTAGATTAATGAAGAGCAAGCCTGATAAACAATTTGATAAGAATATAAGCACCCTTTATTTTTATAAAAATGTGATATTAGAACAGTGCGAATTAGTTATAGCTAGAATCTAGTAGCTGGGTTAATTTAGCTACATTAATCAAAAAACATGACTTAGAAACTAAAATATCTCGGCACACAAAATGCAGGGCTTGTTTGGATTTTTTATTTTTCCCTTTAGAAATTAAGATGAATTTTTTCTATTGGAAATTAAGATGATGAATCTCTATCAGACTGTGGGGTCATGATTTTTTTTTTCTTAAACTTATTCCAAATGTTTATTATGTAAATTTTGTTTTACAAATGATACCCATTATATACCTATAAATATCAAAGAGTGGGGCTCATTTTCATCTGCCCCCCCGCCTCCGTCAGATCTGAGCGATCGAGTCCCTCTCCTCTTTCTTTCCCTCTCCTCCCCAAAACCGACTCCAATTGAAGATTAGGGCTTGGGTTTTCATGCTTCTCCATATACTTGTCGTTCACAACTCACCTTAAGCTCGTCGTTCTTCGTAGCTCGTCGTCGACTTCGCCTTCGAAGCTCGTCGTCGACTTCGCCTTCGAAGCTCGTCGTCGACTCCTCCCTCGAATCTCGTCGTCGACTCCGCCTTCAAAGGTCGTCGTCGTTCACGGTTTTAGGTAAAGATTTTTTTTAAAGATTTGTTGATTTAACCTGTAAAGATTGATAATTTCATTCTTTAATGCTGTCACTTTTATCATCTTTCATCTTTCATGCGATAGATCTCGAAGACAGAACTTTGGTCGTGCAGCGTCAGAATTTTGTCACCAAGGTCTGATCTTTTTAGCCTACTACCTGTCTCATGTGGAATTTTTAGTTTGTTTGTTATTTATGAGTAAAGATTTATTTTTATTTGATTATAGTTTTGTTTATTTTTCCTAAACTGGAAAGATACTAAAATTTTTAGCCTTTATTGCATATATATAGATTTAACCTTTAAAGATTGATAATTACATTCTTTAATGCTCTCACTTTTATCATTTTTCATCTTTCATGTGATAGCTCTCGAAGACAGAAGGTAGGTCGTGCAACGTCAGAGTTTTTTCATAAAGGTCTGATCTTTTAGCCTATTATCTGTCTCATGTGAAATATTGAGTTTTTGTTATTTATGAGTAATTATTTATTTTAGTTTGATTATAGTTTTGTTTATTTTTCCTATATGTTCAGTATCTTTGTGAGGCAACTATACGTATGAGATTCTATTAGCAAAATCAGATTAGATGGTAATTTGTACTTAATATTCCAATAAATACTTTCACACTATATAATCCTAAACCAAGAGCTCATGAGATGATTATTATTTCTTCTATTTCAATTTCTAGTATTTGCAACATTACTGTCTATTTGATAATTTGCAGAGAACTACATATCAGAAATTTAAGTAAACATTTCTATCAAAGATTTTGACATGAATGAAATAACTGAGACAATATACAACTTTTGAAAGTGCAATGTACGATTTTCATGAAAATATTATTTGAAGATATTTAAGTTGGAAAGTTGTGGCATTGTTTAAAAAGCTATTTGTTGACTTGATTTCAAGGGATTTTACAAAGATCATTTTTTTTGAAAGAAAACAAGGGATATACTCTGTCATTAAATTAAAGCAAAATAATAATTACAGAAAAGAGGATACGAAATGTATCCAAGATTGGAAAATAGAACAAGTAGTTTCTCAAGACACGTTATATATGACTTTCTTCTTTCAAACATCCATGAAGGTGAAGAGAAGGTCTTGCCGTTGACATAGATATAAGAAAGAACCAAAGCCAGCCATATATATTGTAACGAGAAACTAAATTTTCTATGACCTAATACAACAAAAGAATTAGCTACATGCTATGTTTATATACCAAAAACAAAATAAAATCATTCCCTTTTCTTGCAAGGCATCAAGTTCTTCTTGTAATTGGTTCTTCCGCCAACTTAGCTAATAACTTTTGTGCTGAAGATCCACTTCCGAAGCCTGTCCATTCATATAGACAATATATAGCTGAGTTTATAATATCCTTGATAGAGAAGTTTGTATGATCAAAGATATACTTATTTCTTGCTGTACATAAACTCCAACAAACAGATAATAAAAAGCTTCGCCACAAAAGTCCATAAAGATGCTTTTGATTCTCTAAAATTATGAAAAGCTCATCCAAAGAATTTGGACAAATGAAAGGTAAGCTGTAATTCATGAAATGTTGCCATATTCGCTTAGTAATCAAACATGAGAAAAAGAGATGTTCCCTTGTCTCAGATTCCATTCCACAAAAGGAACAAGTAATGTCCCCATTCCACCCTTTTGATTGGAGAATATCTTTTGTATGAAGTCTGTTATTAGTAAGGAGCCAAACAAAGATACGAACTTTGGAAGGAGCCAACGGATTCCAGATAAGTTTATATATAGGGTTGATCACTCCTCTCCAGCTTAGAAAACTGTAAAAAGATTTAACATTGAAAACTCCATTAGAGGTAAGAGACCAAGTTGGAGAATCTGAGCTATTGAGAACATGATAATTCTTGAGAAGATCCATGAGATAGGTTTTGTTAACTTGTGATGTCTGTGAGATACTTCTCCTCATCAACAATTGCCATTGCGACATATTATCATGAAAAAGACCTTGGCTCCTGACAGATAAATTGGTGGAGAGAGCTAACTTGATTATCTACACCTACTCTTGTATATAAGTACCTTTATATCATAAAGAGAATAATCTAGTCTCTCAATATCTCTATACTTATCATGGTATGAGTGCCATCATCTCAATCCTGGAGAGACCTCTATTTTTTCCATAATGCTTGTTACTCTCCCAAGCTTTGTCGCCTCAAAGCTAATCCTCACTGTCGATAACTTAGCTCCATTGCAATCATGCTTGCCACTACACTTCAAAACCCCTGGTTCCACAATCTCCTACCTACCTTTACGACCATTCGCGGCCATCCTAGATCTGAGATCTCACTACCCAGGGTCGGTCACATCTGCAACTCCATTACTACTATTGTTGTTGCAACCTTTGCCACACCATTTGCAATCAATGAAGCTCGCCATCAATTACATCAATATCACCTCCACCCAAAGGTAATATTGCCTGCAAGGTGTTTAGCAGAATGCCGCAATGAAATTCCAAGCGGTGACTACATGCTCATCCCCTACCTGCAATTACTCACATAATCATCTCCATCAGCACCTCACTTCGTCCCAACCACAACCAGGACTGCAACCTCACCGCTTTCATACCGCCAACATCACCTTGCTCAACATCTCTATCCTCGCGTAGCCTAATCCTCGTAGTCACTCCGCTTTGAATATCTCGTTGTTCATTTTTCACCTTGCATGCAACTTCACTAGCAAACCCTATCTAGCTGGCTTGCAGTTGCAGTTGCAGCCTGCTGCCGACGCTCAGTCCGTGCTCAACACAATCGCTATCAGCGACATAGCCTAGTCGCCGCCCATCACAGTGCTCACTGCAGTGCCGCCATGCCCATCGCAGTGCTGACCGCTCATTGTAGCGCCTACAGGAGCATCGTTGCCGGTGCTAGCAATCCCCATCGCTAACCAATCGTTCAACGATATGTCTCATAGGACTAGCCACCCACAACACGCTGTCGCTACAACCCCATCATTGCCCACTGGCTAAAACCCTACCTCCTACCTTTCAGCGTCACTTTTGCCCTAGTGACCTCGCTCCACTATCCTCTTGCATCCACTGTAATCGTTCTCATCTTTAATGGCCGCTCAATGCCCATTAATAAGCTGCACACAAGGCGTTAGATAGAATGCCTTAGAGACATCTCATTGCAACCTCAACCACATTGTTGCGCCTCTGGCCAAGCACCCTCCAGCCAGCTCCTCTTCTTCTGGTAGCACCTTCGACCAAGCATTTCCTGCCTGGTTCCTCAGCCAACACGCTGACCAGCACCTTCCCGACCATGCTTTCCCCGACCAACCCTCTTTTGTAGATGTTATCACCTGACAAACACAACCTTGCAGCCTTTGTCCACGCCATCACTGTACAGCTACGACCTCGTTCCCTTTGCCCATACTATCACTAGGCAGCTATGACCTTGCTGCCTCTATCCAAGCCTTCACTGGAGAGCACCGATGATCTCACCTCCTCTGTCCAAGCCCTCACTAGACAACACCATGATCTCACCGCCTATGTCCGATCACTAACTAGTCAGCACTGCGACCTCCAAGCCCCTCGTTGCCTCTGTCCAGGCCCTCACTACAGAGCACCAACGATCTCACTGCCTTTGTCCAAGCCCCTCGTTGCCTCTGTCCAAGCCCTCACTACAGAGCACCAACGATCTCACTGTCTCTGTTCAAGCCCTCACTGGACAACACTATGACCTCACCACCTCTATCCAATCACTAACTGGACTGCACTGCAACCTCACTGCCTTTGTCCAAGCCCACACCGGACAGCACTATGACTTAGTGCCTACAATTCTAGCAACCAATGTGCTCAATTCAACCACCTCTCGCTGATCCCTGCCAACAACCATCTATGCAAATTTGACTCATTTTATTCAAACTCTCGGTCCTCTACCCACCATGAGTTTGACGGAGAGTATTAGATATTATAGTTAGGCATGATTGTATTCCTTTCTTTAGTCTCACATCGTTTAGAATACTTTATTTTTATATAATGAAGAGATTATTCTCTTTTTTCTCTCAAAAGCTCCACTCGTATCAAGTCAAGGGGCATTTTGGCTTTTTTTAATATATCAGATGACATTTTATTGGCATCAAAGATTGACCAAAATGGCTCGACACCGAGTTCTGGATTAACATTTGTTTTAGAGATCAACTTTTATTCAGGGGTCATGCCATATTTTTGGACAATGTTCAAGCAGTTTTGTTGAGTTTTGTTGATGCTGTGATGAATCTTTGAACTATTTGTCATTTATGTTTTAATAGGATCTTGCTACTAAATAGATGAACCTGAGATCATGACCTTCAGCAGTTCTATAATTGCATTTAATGTGGGAAGTCTTTGTTCCTGTTTGTTATTTTGGCAACCATCAGATGGAGTAAGTGGTTTTGCCATTTTTGCATGGTTGACTTAACATACAATGTTGCATTCAAGTTAAACTGACATATTATGAAACCTGTATTAACTGATTTGTATCTTCATACTAATTATGTTTATCTCATCTCATGTTACGATCTGTAGACTTCACAGTTCAGTTGTGAATTTTTCAAACAGTTGCAAAGTGCTTTTCATATTTAATCTTTATAAATAGACTTGTTTATTTTGCAGGAGGTACAACATTTTAAGCTATTGAATTCTATCCTTACCAGATAATCCGACATGTCTTGGTGCACTATTGAGTCTGACCCTGGTGAGTTTTGTCTATCAAGTCTTTTTGATACCTATGATGATTCCCCATTGCATATGTTTACAATTTTAAGTAATTGTCACATATAACTTCTCTCTTTAATGTTGTTGTACCCTATGCTCCTTTCTTTTTCTGTTTTGGGGCTGTTTGGTTCAACAAAAAGGTAGGAAATTTATTGCAAAGGTCTGGATGCGCTCATCTAGAGAAGAGTGTTTTCCATTATTTTCTGTTTCTCTTGTTTGGTTCAGAAAAAGAAAAAGAAAAAAAAAAAACGCGTCCCAAAAGGAGCGATCTTTTTTTAAAACCTAAAAATCCATTTCCTAGCTCAAAGCTCAGAAATGGGCTGGAAAAGTGGGAAACCAGACAAATGTATTTCTTTCCAAGAGTTTCCCGATTTTTTTGTTCAACCAAACAGCCCCACAGTACATAATATCAACACACATCACATGTGGAGCTTGACACTATTATAACATTCTATATGCAGCCACATATATCTGGAAACTAGAGCATATTAGCATATTGGCAACCAGTTTCACGCTCTATTTGCACTTGCTCTTTGAATTAGCATATTGGCAACCAGTTTCACGCTCTATTTGTACTTGCCCTTTGAAGCGTCAAGTTAAAAATCTAATATACTCTTCATCATCATATGTCAGATACAGAATTCAGTTATTCAGCAGAGGTTGCTGTATCTACATATGCCATGTGTTGAACAATAAATATGGTTTCTCATATATGTACTCAGAGATCAGCAGAGAATGTGCTCATACATGCTCCTAGTATCTTCCAAATTCAAATCATTATACATTCACAGTCACAGATACACAATATTGTATGTGGTGTTAGAGTTGGCTTCATCAAGAAGGATTTGGAAGCTATTTATTTTCCATTCATAGCCAAGGCCTACTCTAGTAATTGAAATCCTTTTTGTTGATCTTAATCTAAAGCATTTTGGGTTTATTGTGGTTTCCTTGAGAGAATAGGCAGGAAATGTATCTCATCCAAATTGAAAGCCAACTCATTCAAGTTGTAGGTTCATTTTGGAGTGGTTAAAATCCAAAATTGACTTGACTGATTTTCTTGCCTGTGGATCAAGTGTTAAAAAGCTGGCAGCTAAAAGCATTGAGTTGTCATATTCTTTACTCTTCCTTCTTACCACTTGACTCATAAACATGGAAAGGGATAATCCATATTTTAAGTATGTCATTTTAAATGTTGTAGATCAATATAATTTTGGACCTCATTCCTTTGAATTGACTGGCCTAAAAGTAACTGGCTGTTTACATCTGTGGTGCGACTATCACATTAAAGGGCCATTTGGTAGCCTGCAACTGAAGGATTGCTTTTGCAACTTTGCTTTTGCAGTTGCATGTAACTTGGCCACTTTTATCCGGTCCCTAGCAATGTTTTAGAAAGCGAGCTAGGCGGGCTAGGCCACGTTTGTCTTGTCCAGAGCAATGATTTAAAAAGCGAGCTAGGCAGGCGCCTAGTCTAGGTGCCTGGCTAGGCCTAAATAGATAGCACCTATGCCGCTTGCTTAGGCCTTAGGAGCGTGAGCTGCTTATGCAAACTGAATAGTACGTCTTAGTCATTATTTCCTCGCTGTTTTTTCCATGTTCTCTGACCACCTCTGAACTCCTCTACTCCAACTGCGAACACCTTCTCCACCTCCTTTGACCTTCATCAAAGCTTCCTCCACCACCACTTAACAAAAAAAGAAATCTGTCTGTGTGCTTGGCATTAGTTCGGTATTTAAGACTCCATGCTTTCTCTTTTGCTGATATTTTGAGCACTAGGCTTCTGAATTTGGGATGTTATGTGTCACATTGACTTATGTTGGTTTTTCTTAATATTTACTATTTACTCTATTTATGCATAGTTGATTATGAATCTATGATTGTTCTTTTTGCAACTTTCCATGAATTTAATGCATCTATTATCAGTTATTGCAAGTCAGTTGCACGCTACCAAATGCCCCTAGTCATCATAGACTTCCATTTACATCCGCATACCACTTGCTTGATTACACAGACTAACACTTTTTCCTCTTAAACTTGATTCGCTATTGAAATTTTAAATAGGCACTAAGTTGCATGCAAATAACAATTACATTGCAATTCAGTTGCACGCTACCAAATGCCCCTGGTCATCATAGACTTCCATTTACATTCGCATACCACTTGCTTGATTACACAAACTAACACTTCTTCCCCTTAAACTTGATCCACTATCTAAATTTTAAATAGGCTAAATTAGCAGATTGGTATTTTAAGTTGACCCCTCTTGCTACTAGGATATTTTGAAAAGCTCCAGCATCAATAACACCCTTTTTCTTGTTGGCTGTGAAAATTCGAGCACATACTGTAATTTTTTGTTGGGAAATTCTCTTCCACCCTCTAATCTCTCGAAGCTATTTAATCTACACATTTCTGACGCAACGCGGAAGTGATAAATTCGGAATCCACCAAGGGTGTTCTCTGAATCCACAAAGAATGATCTTCGAATCCACGAAGAAAATATTGAAAAAAGAGAAATTTTATTGATGAAAAGTTATTCTCTTTTGGAGTTACATGACTCTTTTTAAATAGAAAAACAAATAAGACTCCTAGTAAGAATAGAATTATAAAAATAGAAAGTATCAAATAAGATTCCTCGTAAGATTAGAATTACAAAAAAATAAAAAGTATCAAATTCTATCTTAAAAAGACTCCCAATAAGAGAGGAAACAAATCATGAATCAAAATTGATTTTGTTTCCTAATCTAATTTGACTCTAAAATGAAATTTATTTTCTAATCTAAAAGAATCCAACTTTATTACTAAAAATAAATTAAAAGCTGATTATTTTCGGATTTTAGCCAAATCTGGGTATAACTGATGAGATTGTAAAAATCTGACAATCTGGATGACTCCGTCTCATCGAAATAGGCGATTTACATGTATAATATGTCAGAATCCGTCTTCCGGATTGAAAGATATGATTGTTTCTTTGCAGAAGTATAAATCTGTATTTAGCTCGTGAATATCTGAATCCTCCATTAAGTTTTCTGTTAAGCGTCCTACATCACTTCCTCCAACCTCACCCAATTTAAATTTATGTTACCGCCCTCTCAAAATTGCACTCCCCGTAATCTAATCCTATCAAAAGGCACACCTTTACACTTTACAAGCATCGAAGCGCTCGGAAAAACTCAAGATGATTAACCTCTTGTTTGGATTAGGGTTATGTGTAGGTGGGGGAGGTTGAACGCGAGGGAGGGGATGACTTTATCCAGAAGTGGAAGGGAGAACAACTCCTCTCACAGACTGGGGGGCTCCAACGACCTCCTATCTATGAAAACCCGAAGAATAACCCATCCGATTCATGCACCTATTGTTGGGTCAAAAAAAAAAGATGGAGTCGTTACTTGATAGCGTTCACACGCAGCTAGAGAGTTATTTCAGTTTGGAATGCATTTGGACTGGAAACATCAAGCACGAGTAGAGGCACGAGATGACCTTTCAAATCCGAAAAACCAACTAGGATGACTACCCTCAGGGAACGAGATAGAAAGAAGGTGAGGTTGATGACGTGTGGAACTTGTTCGTTGAGCTTGACTACATATATGTATCCTAGCACTCACTAGGGCTCTTGAATGCTTTTATTTTGGAAGTGTGTGACTTGAGCCCATCTCTTAGGCATGTAATGAGTCTGTGGAGTGGTCGTTCGTTGTCTCCTCCCAGTGATCAGTCAAATGTTTCACATGGTTTTTTCATGTGGTATGGTCTTATTCTTCGCCTTTGATAGGATGGATTTGCCTCTGCACCTCAGTCATCTTGTTTTGATGGTCTGCTTTCTTTGGTTTTGGTCCTGCTCCGCCCTTGCTATGACTGTTCCAGGTTACCATATTGTAATCTTGGCACCTGGTCAGCATTCATGCTGATTCTTTTTTTTTCCGCTAGGTTTATGAGGTGAGATTCTACCTCCATTGAAGATTGCTTAGGTGGATAGGTATCTCATTGAAAATGGTAGAGTTGACCAGTGGTGTTTGAATCCCAGTAATCTCGTTATGAGCCCGTGTCAGAGGTCCTTAACAAACAAGAGTTTTAAAAGAAGAAAGAGGTCATGATATCGATCTCGAACACGCGGGTTTTCCGTTGGTCTTCTTGTCTTTTTCCGATCAAAAAGATACATTTGAGATTCGAAGGCTCTGTATGCAACCAAACGTTGTCATTCTTCCTCTTTGGATATGAGGCATGTTATATATTCAATCGTAGGTTTTTGTGTTCAGAGAAGAGACCTCTAAGAAAGCTTGAAGCCTGTAGGTCTCGAGTGATTGAGTCAGAGCTCTCAACGGTAGTTGGCCAGCCATAGTCGAGTAGCCCAACGAAGGTAATCGATAGTTCAGTAGACGGTTTGCATTTTTTAAAGCAAGTCAGAGATTTAGCCCAGTAGTTGTAGTCGTAGTACAGCTCCTTCCATGAACATGACTGTTTTGACTCATGGTCTTTCCCCTTTCCCCACAATTCTTTCTGAGCCACTTTTATAATAAAAAAAGGAAGCTATCTGAATCTGACATCCTGGTTCTCATTACCTACCCATTTGGGTTGGGCCGTCAAAAGGAAGAGCTTTCTAGGAGCAGAAGCTCATCCGAGTCGAAATCCTGTCTGCTTTCTTGATCAGATGCATGTAGTTCCTTCACTCTTGTTTGACCCGCTTTAGCTAGCATATCCGCCAGGGCCACTGAGCCTGACTATGATGATGGCTTTTCAAACGACTCTCAAAGACCAGATCATTATCCAAGACTCGCTAGCTACTTCCTCTCCCTTTGTCATCCCCCTTTTCATTCAAAAACCAACCTCTTTGATCTGATCATGTGTCTACACACCTTTTTTATTGGTCGATCAGAGCTACCGTTTACACCCTCCACCACTAGTCAGCTGTCAATGTCATGTAGACCATTCGACGATCGTCTCTTTGCTTGCTCTCCAAGTAGTGGGTCGTCAGCTAGCCCAGCTCAAGACCTTGACAACCGATCCATGGTGCCTTCATCTTTCTCTCTTTTTGTTCATGGAAGTGACCGAGAGAAAGAGAGGGTGAAGGAGGAGAGGGTGGAATAAATTTGACACGGGGGAGGTTGAAGGACGAGGGTATAGATACAATAATTATGAGAGGTCCAGGGGGTGGAAGAAATTTTCCCAACAAAAAATTACAATTCACACTGTAGTTCTTGTCGCCGGTGAAAAAAAGTCTAATTGGCATCGAAACTTCTAAAAATACCCTATTGTTAAGAGGGGTCAACTAAAAATACGAATTTGGTAATTTAGCCATTCTAAATAATGCCAATGTAACTGATGCCTGTTAAATAACATCACAAGAGATTAGACCTGAATTCTAAGCTAAAATCTCATCGGCTTCTGTCCCTCAATCCAAGGATGTGATTCCTCTTAGCACTCCCTTCTCTCTCTACGACTGCTTGTTTTACGAGTTTATGGTGTGTAATCGTTTTCTTCATATTCTCCATTTTCATCTGTTTTCAAGTTTTCCTCTCTATTTAATATATTTTCCTCTAATTGGTTTTGAAAAGCAAGTACAGTGAATTGAATTAACTCTACAAATTTTGCTACATGCAAACCATGGCTAGATATCACCACTGAAAGTTATTTTTTTATACATGTGGATGTGGGTAGAAGTTATGGATGATCATGTACCTCGGTGTTTTCAGAAACACTGTAAGCCTTAGCGGCTTAGCCAATGCTCTGCCTACGTTTTTTCCCACTTTTCTTTTGGTCTTAAAGAAGGGGTCCTCAAGCACTGAGGATCCATTAGCAGGGGAACACTTCCAGAACATTGATGTAGTGCACGGAAAGCGGTGTTCATTGAACATATAAGTATAACCTCATTAGATATGTTTTCCTGTTATATAAATAAAAGGATGTAGAAGAATTTTGCCATCTCTTTGTTTGTTCTTTCTGTACTTATGTTATTAGTTAGCTGTCATCAGCACTATAGAGTATCTGGTGAATGATTTATCTGGTTAACATTCCAGGGGTTTTTACTGAGCTTATACAACAGATGCAAGTAAAAGGTGTCCAGGCAAGTTCACTCTTCTCTCCTTCAATCTTTTTAGTTACATATTAAACATCTTCTTGCCACTTCCTTTATGCATCCTTTTTTTTGTCTGGGTTATGTCTTGTCAAAATTGGACTCACAATTTTTAGGGGCAGACATCAGTATGGCAGTACAATGCATTTTCAATTATAGTTCCATTGACAGTTCCCATTTCATTCAGAAAAAGGTGCTGGTTTGCTATATATTTATGCTTGCTTACAGGTTTCTGTCTATGTATTATTTGGTTAATCATACTATTCGTCTTGCATGTAGCCAAAAAACTTTCTTCTTGGTATGCTTTTGTGGTGATGGATGTTTTCCCCATATATTTTCCCTTGAGCAGATTAGATGTAAGAAAAAAGATGCATGTAGCTTATTGAAAATTTGGGATAAAGGCTTGTAATTTAATTTCTAATGTTTATGAGTTCATGTAATGAAATTATTTAATAACATTATTAATTAGTCATTTATTGTGTCTGATCAAATAGTGTAATGAACGTTAGTTTTGGATGGAAATTATAAGGGTTATCCACAAAGGATACATGTTCGATATCATAAAGATCCTATCCTTTAGTATCCAATCAAGCATTTTGGGTAGAAATTATAAGCATTATCCACAAAGGATACAGGTTCAATATCATAAAGATCCTATCCTTTCAAGCATTTTGGACAGAAATTATTAGGATTATCCACAAAAGGTTACATGTTCAATCCAAAGGGTTCTCACCCAAAACTAGCTCATATGAATTTCCACCCCTACTGTCCAAACAAGCGTTAGTGTTGTAGTTCTTTTTGTTTTAATTTTAGGGCTAATTGTGGGTTGACTTCTATTTGTAAATAATTCTCTTTTTCTGAGGGTTGAAGACTAAAAAGAAAAAAAAATCACTCAGGAGGTCTATCCGCAATAATAAAATAAGAGGAGTAATAAATTCAAAACAATGACACTATGAGGGCTCCATCTGCAATTAACCTTCAATTTGTGTGGAGGGTCTTATATATAATTTAATAGTTACTGAAAGATCCTCAGGATTAGATGTCATCTAACACCTAATGAAGTGCAACGCATGAAGACATGACAGACTACCTTGACCTTTTCTATTATGAGAAGCATTGCAACTTTTTCAAAGATGGAGGGTAAGAGTAGAAGCTTATTTCTCATGCTTTTCTAGTAGATTCTCCTGATGAGTTTTTCATGACCTTCATTGTAGTAAATTCGTTCAATGATTTGTTGGCGTGTGTTGGGTTCTTATTTCCCTTTCAACTTCTGTTTATGACATTGCTATATCTTTTTTCTTTGTTCACGTTTCTATATATGCACACAGTTCTACTTGCTTGAATGTGTTTATGAAGCATTATGGTTATTTTGTCTGTGGGCTATTTATCAGTATGCCAGATCCTCAAAAGTCCTCTAACAAGGTGTTTTTTTAAAATTTTTTAACTTTCCTAAAAATGTTAGGTTTCTAGCATTGTCGCGTGGTGATAGGAATTTTGAGTCTGCAATGGATCTCAGAATATTCATCATTAGCTATTTCTCTATTAATTTGAATTGTATTTCATGTGGATTTGATGCACTATTATATTTTGTCATTCAGGTAGAGGAATTGTATTCGCTGGATCTGGATTCCCTAAACAGTTTGCGGTTAGTATTTGCCCTCCAGCAATGTTGTGTTCTTTTTTTAATTACATTTTGAGGTAATCCAAGTCCTGCATGCACAAACAGGCCAGTATATGGGTTGATATTCCTATTCAAGTGGCGACCTGGAGAAAAGGATGATCGTGTTGTGATCAACGATCCAAATCCGAATCTTTTCTTTGCCAGTCAGGTTAGATGCAAATTCCTTGGCATCTGTACATATTTTCCTTGTATGATTAATACACTCTTATTCTGATTGATTTTTATACTCTGCAGGTTATTAACAATGCTTGTGCGACCCAAGCTATTCTCGCCATTCTAATGAACTGCCCAGAGGTTGATATTGGCCCAGAATTGTCGATGCTAAAAGAATTCACAAAGAACTTTCCACCAGAACTCAAAGGTTTAGCTATCAATAATAGTGAAGCGATTCGGACAGCTCACAACAGCTTTGCGAGGCCTGAACCCTTTGTCCCGGACGAGCAGAAAGCTGCGGGCAAGGATGATGATGTCTATCACTTTATAAGCTACATACCTGTAGATGGGGTGCTTTATGAGCTGGATGGGCTGAAGGAGGGACCCATTAGCCTCGGCCAATGTCCTGGTGGGCAAGGAGATTTGGATTGGCTGAGAATGGTGCAGCCGGTGATTCAGGAGCGCATAGAACGTTACTCTCAGAATGAGATTAGGTTCAACCTCATGGCGGTTATAAAGAACAGGAAAGAGATTTACACTGCTGAGCTCAAGGAGCTGCAGAGGAAGAGAGATGTGCTGATGCAGCAACAGAGTGATATGCAAGCATTGGCGGAGGTGAGATCTGAGATTGAAAATGTGACGGAGAAAATACTGATGGAGGAGGAAAAATTCAAGAAGTGGAAAACCGAAAATATCAGAAGGAAGCACAATTACATACCGTTCCTATTTAACTTTCTGAAGATTCTTGCAGAGAAGAAGCAGTTGAAACCTTTGATTGAGAAGGCCAAACAGAAGACATGTAGCCCAAGGTGAAGTGTGCCTTCGTTATATGATGATGGTGTCTGGATAATTTTAAGAAGTGTACTGCTGCTATGGTATGTATTAATTTATGGTATTGTGGATTATAATTTTTGTGGGTTTTATTTTAGTGCTCTCTTCCCACTGCGGAGAAGGTTTAGGTTAGATCTTTGCTTAGGTTGAAGCGCTTTGGGTACTCTTAATGATTGTATGGTATGGACGCTGCTTAAAAGATAACGTGTACACTACACTGGTTTTGTCGTTGGTTGCTCTATTATAGGGAATAGACCTGCTGTACTTGATTTACATTCGTTAGTAGGGAACGAAAATAGTAAAATTATTCGATGTAGCTCATGAATATTATAAAATTTTAACTATGCGTACATTGTACCTATTTGACAAACTGAACGAAAATGAAAAAAAATAATGGATCAGAGCCTATGTAAATTATAATTTTTGATATAGAATAATTAACTTATATTGGTTGAAACGAACGAAGTAACAAAAATTGTGAGTTACGTAGTTCATTAGAATGATAAAATTCACATACTTAATTGTTATTTGATCAAAATGAACGAAAATTGACAAAAGTTATGGGTTACAGTTCATTGAATGTGAATTTTGATGCACACATGCTTAATTTACATTCGGTCAAAGCGAATAAAAATAGGAAAAATTATGGGTTATAACCTACGAAAATCGTGAAATTGAACTACATGTAGTTAATTGTCAATTGGTTAAAGTGAACGAAAATTGACAAAATTGTGCGACATGGCCCCATGAAAATCACAAATTTTTGATGCGCACGTTCATAGTTTACATCCGACAAAAATGAACAAAAAACAAAAAATTGTGGGTTGTAACCCATGAAAGTAATGAAATATGATCTTGCGCATTTAATTGCCATTTGGTCAAAATTGAAAAAATCTGGATTATTATACATTAAAAGTAAAAATTATGATACACATATACTAAATTTACATTCAGTCAAAATAAAGAAAAACACCGAAATTGTGGGATATAGCCCATGTGATTATGAAGAAGATGAAGTGAAATCACAAAAGCATGTCAATCAACAAGTCATTATGTGATACATAATATATAGATGAGAAAAAAAATTTGGGCTTGTCGAGAAAATACAATCTCATGCACCGTATAGTAATATTAAGCAAAAGTTCAAGTAAAAAATATGTAGACACAAAGAAAGACAGTATATATGATTTTTCCTTTTCAAATTTTTATTTTTCAAATTTTTAAGAAACCAAAGGGAAAGAAAGAGAAATTTTTATTTTTGTTTAAAAAATAGAAAATGTAAGAAAAAGGAATTTTTATTTTGTTTTTATTTTAAATAAAAAAGAAAACAAAAAATAAAAGAAAGAAAGAAAGAAACTTAACTAACTAGACCTCCAATGATGGAGTACCTAATTCCTATATCAAACAGGACATGATTTTGTGATAAGATCAGCTAGTTGATCATTTTGCACAAACTCTATTTTAGTGTCCTTGTTAAGGATATGATCTTTAAGACTGAGTTTAGCAAGAGGCTAAATAAGGGGTTAAGGGGGTTTAACCCTCTATTAGCCTGCCAAATAGAAAAAAATGCCAAGGGTTAACAAACCTGCTCGTGAGCCCAACAATCCATTTAACCCGTCAATAGAAGGGTTTACTATTACCCGTGAGAATGCGGAACAAGGCTTGTTCCGCCTTCTCACACGAGGGTAGGCAGCGGAATTAGGAGGAAAATATTTTCATTTGGATCTTGTGAGGGTAGGCAGCGGAATTCAGAAGAAAATATCTTTAGAGATCCCTGTAAAATCTACTTCTTTCCCTCTAAATTTTTCCTCTAAAAATTTTCCTCTACTTTTTCCACCAGAGAGATCTTTCGTAACTATTAATAGGAATATTTTAGGGGGAACAATCAAGAAGAGAGAATTTTTTTTTTCATAGTGGGATTTTCTCAGAATACACTCAAGCGAAGTGATAGGTCGTTGATTTTGTTTTACTCTCAGTTTTTAAAATTTTAATAATCTAATTTTTATACATAGAACTATGCCGATTGTTAATTTTGTTTTTTAATAATCTAAGTTTTACTCTTAGAATACACTCAGCTTAGAATACACTCAGCCGATTGTTAATTCTGTTTTTTACTATCATTATAATTTCTTACATTTAATAGTGTAAACATTTTTAGTGTTGTCAATAGCGGCTTAACAGATGGAATTTTGATACGTTTTTAATAAAAAGGTTAACATTGTTAGCAAAGTTGCTTTGAATTTGGATTGAATTCAAGATGATGTGAATTGAATTATTGTAAAGACTAATTTTAAGTCCAAATGTTGATTTCTTTGTAGATTAGATTTTTTTTGGTTCAAAAAGAATGCAATTATAAGATGTATACATATGGATTGTGTTAGGTCTCATGTTTATGAGCCTACTATCTAATCTAGTTTTAATGATTAACAAATAATTCCTAACATCGTTTGTCGAGTATTTGTATTTACTTGTTAGGAATCATACACAAAGATCCTAGTTGGAGGTTGGATGGACTTGCACTTTCACGATCATATTCAAAGGAGGTTGGAAGGATAACGGAATGAAGCTGTCGCAATTCAAGTCAAGATTCATCATCGCTTCATTCGCAATCAAGGCAAGCTTAACAAAGACTTTTTAGCTTGGGTATATAGTTTCTAGTTTAGTTTTTATACTTTGTGTGATTATACTTAAAAGCTCAAATATTACACGCGCCTTCTCACACGAGGGTAGGCAGCGGAATTAGGAGGAAAATATTTTCATTTGGATCTTGTGAGGGTAGGCAGCGGAATTCAGAAGAAAATATCTTTAGAGATCCCTGTAAAATCTACTTCTTTCCCTCTAAATTTTTCCTCTAAAAATTTTCCTCTACTTTTTCCACCAGAGAGATCTTTCGTAACTATTAATAGGAATATTTTAGGGGGAACAATCAAGAAGAGAGAATTTTTTTTTTCATAGTGGGATTTTCTCAGAATACACTCAAGCGAAGTGATAGGTCGTTGATTTTGTTTTACTCTCAGTTTTTAAAATTTTAATAATCTAATTTTTATACATAGAACTATGCCGATTGTTAATTTTGTTTTTTAATAATCTAAGTTTTACTCTTAGAATACACTCAGCTTAGAATACACTCAGCCGATTGTTAATTCTGTTTTTTACTATCATTATAATTTCTTACATTTAATAGTGTAAACATTTTTAGTGTTGTCAATAGCGGCTTAACAGATGGAATTTTGATACGTTTTTAATAAAAAGGTTAACATTGTTAGCAAAGTTGCTTTGAATTTGGATTGAATTCAAGATGATGTGAATTGAATTATTGTAAAGACTAATTTTAAGTCCAAATGTTGATTTCTTTGTAGATTAGATTTTTTTTGGTTCAAAAAGAATGCAATTATAAGATGTATACATATGGATTGTGTTAGGTCTCATGTTTATGAGCCTACTATCTAATCTAGTTTTAATGATTAACAAATAATTCCTAACATCGTTTGTCGAGTATTTGTATTTACTTGTTAGGAATCATACACAAAGATCCTAGTTGGAGGTTGGATGGACTTGCACTTTCACGATCATATTCAAAGGAGGTTGGAAGGATAACGGAATGAAGCTGTCGCAATTCAAGTCAAGATTCATCATCGCTTCATTCGCAATCAAGGCAAGCTTAACAAAGACTTTTTAGCTTGGGTATATAGTTTCTAGTTTAGTTTTTATACTTTGTGTGATTATACTTAAAAGCTCAAATATTACACGCATACACATTTTCATTTTATAGCTTTCAAGTTAAATCGTATAAAATATGAAAAAAAAGTTATATACATATACATATATAATTGTTTCATATTTATCATCTTTATTTGGAAAATAATGTGCTTATGGATTAAAAACTTGTTTATATTATTTTATATCTTTCATCAAGTCTATTAATCTATTGAAAAGTATTTCAAAACTTGTTTGGAATGATTTCATCAAAATCAAATTTTGATGATTTCGTACTCTTAAACAGTTTTCAAAATACATGAGTTTTCACAATTGGGAAATAAAATTTGAAAATTTTATTCTCTAACATATTCATCTTCATATATACAAACATTTTCCCAATTTTTATTAATTTTGGAGTTGTTTTGTTATTTTAAATTGAATTTACAAAAATAAGTTTTCAGCAGTTTTCAGAATCTAGAATATCTGTTTTAAAACAGTGAGTTCTCACAAATGCGAAGTGATATTTCAGAAATTTTTTCTCTAACATTTTTATATTCATGTGTATAAATGTTTCCCTATTTTTGGAGGTGTTTTGCTATTTTAGATTAAATTTAGAAAATCAGTTGTGCAAAATTTCAGAATCTGTTGGGCATGTTTTCAGTCGACTGAACAGTGTTAGTCGATCGTGAATAGTGCCTCAGTTGACTGAACAGTATCAGTCGACCGAGAAGAAGCATTTTTTAGCATTTTGAAGTTTCAGTATAACAGTCGATCGATGCAAAGCATCAGTCGGCTGATAACGGTCAGATTGCATTGTTACGACTAGTTTTTGTTTTGATGATGAGGCTATATATATGCCTCATAACCAATTTGTTTTACTTAAAAAAGTTTTTAAAAAGTGTTTTTACCAGTTTTTAAGAGTTTATCAAGAAATCTAAGTGTGTTTGTTTCTTGTGAAAAGAGATTCACAAGTTTGGATATCAATTTCATTGTTGAGGGTTTCATGTAGAACCCCATAATTTTTATAATGAATACATGTGAATTATTAGTGATAAATAATTCTTTTATGATAAATAATCATATATATTATAGATAAATATGATAACCAGTGTTTGGGAACCCAATATATATTATAGATAAATATGATAACCAGTGTTTGGGAACCCAACAAGTGATTCTATGTGAGAGAAATCAAGTGGAGTGACCAGCATGTTGTTAATCAGGCTTAGAAGGCATTTTTTTCTGCTGAGCGGTCGACCGCACTGGGCGCGGCGGTCGACCGCACAGCAGACAGAGATTTTTTTTTCTAGGTTCGAGTCTAAACGGGTTTCGGGTCGGGTTATGGGCTTAGTATATATTCTAATGAACCCGAGAGAGCCCTCTTTTCATCTGAAATCAAAAACCCTAGCCCCCTCTCTTCCCTAAAACCCTAGTTTTCTTTTCTTGGTGATTTGGGAGGAGTTTCAAAACCCTAGTTTTCTTTTCTTGGTGATTTGGGAGGAGTTTCAAAGGATTTGCAGCGGGTTTTTGGAGGGATTCAGCGAA